TAGAAAAATTGCAGATACGGTCGGACATGATGAGAACGATCAAAGCAGAAGATTTTCCATCATCTTAACAACCACTATATTTTCCAATTCTTCAAATGACAGCTGCATCTGGACACAAATAAACAAAAACGTACAACGCTATGCAATAAGTACGATCAAGTTTATGAGATTTGCCATTTCGAACATCGCAATTAGTACGTATGCGGCCTTGCGATAGCGCTTGTTCTCGTTTAGTTTCCTGAACTTTCAATTAACCACTAATTCGAGCAAGGGGAAAGCATTGCTCACCTCCCGTCGCTCTCATTCCCTTCACAGCTGTGTGAGTGAATTTCCTTCAAACACGATAGCACAAATGCCGCCACCAGAGCAAATACCACTATCAGAAGATTTGTCATCACATAAATGACTGGAATATCCTCATGTAACAACGTGTTTGAAGAAGAGAAACTGATCGCTACAGTACCGCACCTTGTTTCATTTAGAAATATGGGAGTGTGAAAGACAAAGTTACGGGTTGAGTTAGTCTACGCTTTTACAGAAATATTAGATTACACACCTATCTTCGGTAATCGTTCGGATCTCGGAAGCGATGTCGCAAGAATTCCTAATATGAGACTCAGCGACATTATGCTTGTTAGCGCCATTCCAAGCTATAAATATAGGATTTATTGGAGAACTTTTCCGAAATATTCACCTTTCCCATGATGTCCGCTTTTGTGAGAATGCCTATGATTGACAAAATATTGGTGACAAATGAAGGTATGATAATCATTGTAATATAGAATGATGGACACCTTCTCATCCATATAGCTATGTTATTCTGGAATGAGTAAAATAGTTAGAAAGAAGGAATTCGGCGCAGGAGTAGATATGTTCAGAAACTCTTTCATGTAAAATTAATTAATTACACTCAATACTGTTGCATCATTTTCCAAATAAGATATGGCTTGATATTCAACCTATTTGAATTCTTTAGTTTTGATCGGAAGACCATGAGATGAGCAATCGAAGCCGAAATGAAAATTGTCTCAGATTTACCAAACTTGGGTCGCCGTTCCAATATTCAAAGAAAAGTCACTTTTCGACAGTTAGTTATGTCTCATGAATTATTGTACGAACGTACCTCGTAAAAGCTTTGTGCACTGTTGATTAATGTCTCTCTTTCAACAGAGTTTTTTGCCTTCTTTCAAAGCACAATTCGGTAGAACATGTTTCATCTTATATATGCAGTATGGAGGTACGAAGTACGCAGTACGAAGTGCAGTACGAAGCACACATCTGCGCTTATTACTGTAATTACGATAGAAAGTTCCAGCAAATAATGCCATTGCAAATCAGCTGCCATTTCGAATTTGATGATCAGAGACAAGTTACATGAATGGCCGGCAAAGTCGAATCGTCACCTCCCCGCGGTGCCGGTTGGCAACGGCAACCCCGGCAAACGACGAGGGCACTGTCCCGTCAGGCGG